TTTGGAATCTCCTCATATAAAGCGAATCGTAACGTGGTGGACGACCAGAAATTTTAAATGAAGTGGAGGCGCGCGCGGAAGCACGGAGTCTGCGCGGAAGGGGTAGGGCGATGTGCGAGGGGGAGGGGCTGGATTAGGCGCGGGGGAAGAGAGGGAAGCGGCAACAACGGGTGAAGCGGTCGCCGGGGAGGAGGTTGTGGTGAAAGTGTCGGAAGTGGAGATGACAATAGTCGCATGATGAAAGGAGAGATAGATGTGAAAGGTGCTATGAAAGTAGTGGTGAAAGTGACGTCGACGGTAATGGAAATGGCAGTTACCTTAATGGTAACGGTGAAATTCCCTAGTGACGGTAATGATAACGACGTAGGTGAAGGTGATGGCGATCGTGATATTGATGGTGACGGTGAAAGTAAGGGAGAAACGGAAAGAAAAATGTGAAAGTGATGCTGAAAAGTGTGGAGTTGGTGATAGTGAAGAAGACCGTGAAGGTGAAGGCGACGATGCAGGTGACGGTGAAGTTGATGCTGAACAGGGACTGTAAAGATAACTGAAACAATGACGAGGGGCGTGATATGGGTGAACTGGCGATTGTAAGCAGTAGAAGGGGAGAGAACAGTTGTAAATAAGAAGAGGAAAATGAGAAAGAGGAGGCAATAAAAACTGTGGTTAAGGAAGAGGTGACCATGGTCAGGGTGGACTTGTGGTTGGGAAAAGTCAGAGGAGGAAGGAATGGAGGAGACAATTTCGACGGCGTCTATGGCAGCAGGGAAAAAAACAAACACACTGGTGGTAAGAAACAATAGGAAGGTAACAGATGGAACGGAGAGAGCACAGCAACAACCGACATAGAAGCGCTGAAAGTAAAGACGTTGGCGGTAGCTGTGATAGAGAAGGCAAAGACTTTGACGGGAGGGATCGGGTGTGGAGACGGAAATGGTGGAAGTGGGAGCGAAGGAAGTACCACTGCCGCTGGCGGTGGTGTAGGCGGCAGCGGAGGCCGCTATCAGACTTTACGAGCTGCGATTGGCGTTCTCCTGGAATTGGTGCACCTCTAGGCCAATCAGATAAAATTGTTTCAGCGGCCATTGTCTGTGTACTCCTCGACAAGGCGAGCCGAGGCGGGCTTCCTCGGGGAGGCGGGCTTCCTCGAGGAGGCGGGGGCGACGGCGGCGCAGAAGCCGGCAGCGGGGGTGGGGTGGAGCAGGGGCAGC